TGGTTTAAGCTAAGAAATGGATGTAACGAAGCTTGATTACAACTATACGGGTGAAAATGCATTAAAAGAGCTTGAGAGGATCACCTTGAAAGCTGGTGAAGTTCAAGATGACATTTTATGTGGGATCTTAGAACAAAACAAGGACACACAGTACTTGAGTAAGTACATGAAAGGATCTAAAGACGTTACGGAGTTTAAACGCTCTGTGCCAATCATCAAGTACAAAGATATCTATCCTTACATTCAGAGAATTGCCAATGGAGAAGACTCTTCTCTTATCACTGGTCATCCTATCACTGAAATATTATGCAGGTCAGTTTCTGTTACTAGCAGTCTGAATCTTTCTTAGTCCTCTTCCTTTTCTCTTAATGTGTGTATGTCATCTTTAGCTAATGAAAATGTATTTTGCTTTCTTACATTTTTTGCAGCTCTGGGACTTCTGCTGGAGAGCCAAAGCTAATGCCAACCATTTCTGATGATCTTGATCGCCGCACTTTTCTCTACAATCTTATTGTTCCAATCGTGAACAAGTTAGTAAAATCCCTCCCTTGTCCCCTTTTAAATAATCAGTACTGTGATCTTCCTTGATGATGTTTAATAGCTTAAGGGCAAGCTCTATCTTTTTCTTCTTTATGAAATTTTGAGAGTTGAAAAAGCAAAAATATATACACACGAATATTTACCTTAAGAAGAGACCCTAGGGAAACAAAGTGGCTGATCTCATATTCCATAAAAGAACCACTAGGAATGTTCCTGTAGTTGTGGGATTATCATCTATGGATATGTCTCAAAAGCTCATCTATGGAAGTGGAAGGACATCACCATCACATCCTTCAATGTTATCCATTTGAAATACCGAAAAGAAAATAAAAAACTTATTTATGATTTTTAATTTGTTACCGATAAGCCTCAGTGTGAGTATGGTTTCATAATCATACATTCAGGTACTGGCCGTGGTACCAATAGATCATAATAGATTTCTCACTAATTAAGGAAGGAAAATAAGTTTGCTTTCTTTTTGAGATTTTAGTTTTCTGGGCAATTTAGTGGTATCATGTCATGTACTATAAAGTTTGCATCCATCATCTTTTATCCACACGCCATTCTTTTGTATGTCCCTACCAAAGATTCTCTGAGAATTTTGAACACCACTCACTCAACCTCTAGAATCTTTCATATCCATATAATTGATGTTTTTAAAAAAAAAAAAATATATAGTTTTTCACTTGTTTTACTATCTTCTTCTGTTTTTACTAACTGTACATTTTGTTGTTTTGACAGGTATGTACCAGGACTTGACAAAGGAAAAGCAATGTACCTAAATTTCGTCAAGGCTGAAACATCAACTCCTTCTGGTTTACCAATCAGAGCTGTCTTAACTAGCTACTACAAGAGCAAACATTTCCAATGCCGACCTTACGATCCATTCAACGACTTAACCAGTCCGATCCAAGCCATCCTTTGTGAAGACAGCAACCAAAGCATGTACTGTCAGCTACTAGCCGCTCTGATCCACCGACACAAAGTCATGCGTTTAGGAGCTGTCTTTGCTTCTGCGTTCCTCCGTGCAATTTCTTATCTTGAGCAAAAATGGAGTCAGCTCTGTGAAGACATCCGCACTGGTCATCTCAATCCCATGATCACTGATCCAAGATGCAAAGTCGCAATGTCTTCTCTTCTAACGTCTCCGAATCCAGAGTTAGCTAACGAGATTGAAGAAATCTGTGGAAGTTCTTCGTGGAAAGGGATTCTGTGTCAGCTCTGGCCTAAGGCAAAGTTCATTGAAGCAGTAGTGACTGGCTCAATGGCTCAATACATACCAGCACTTGAGTTCTTTAGCCAAGGGAAGATCCCATTGGTTTGTCCAATGTATGCTTCCTCTGAGACTTACTTTGGAGTCAACGTCAAGCCACTCTCCAAACCATCCGACGTCGTTTTCACGCTCTTGCCGAACATGTGCTACTTCGAGTTTATACCTCTCGGCAATAACGGGACTCTCTCTTTTGACGTCGACGACGATGAACAAGTCATCCCCTCTGATAAAGTAGTCGACTTGGTCAATGTCAAACTCGGGCGCTACTACGAGCTGGTCGTGACAACTTTCGCAGGATTGTACCGTTACAGAATCGGCGACGTGCTTCAAGTGGCCGGTTTCTACAACAAAGCTCCACAGTTCCGGTTTATCTGCAGGAGAAACGTGGTTCTAAGCATAGATTTAGACAAAACCAACGAGGAAGATCTCCACAGAAGCATCACATTAGCCAAGAAGAAGCTTCTTGAATCCGACAACAACGCGTACCTAGCGGAATACACGAGCTACGCGGACACGTCATCAGTTCCAGGTCACTACGTGATCTTCTGGGAGATCCAAGGGCTCGAACATGATGACGACCATCATCGTCAACATATAAAGCCGAAACTAATGGAAGAGTGTTGCATCGCGGTCGAGGAAGAGCTCGATTACATTTACAGACAATGCAGGACGAAAGAGAGATCGATCGGACCGTTGGAGATAAGAGTGGTGAAACAAGGAACGTTTGAGAAACTGATGGATCTGGTAATAAGCCAAGGTGGGTCGTTTAATCAGTATAAAACACCGAGGTGTGTTAAGGCCAATAGTGGTACGCTCAAGCTCTTGAACGCACATGTGACTGGCTCCTTCTTTAGTCCTCGTGACCCGACTTGGGTCCCATGATCGATCCCAACCAGAATAAACGTTGGAGAGCAATAATCATCATCGGATCGGATTTGCATTAATTCTAGTTAGCA